CTTTCCTTAAAAGGCAAAACTGCAGCTGCACGATGGCCCCAATGACATCGTGTTCAGTATCACAACCCAGTACCAAGGCACATGCCGCTGCGCGGGGACCATTTACCTGTGGGACTGGAACGACAAGATCGTCATTTCTGACATCGATGGGACCATCACCAAGTAGGCGAGGCCAAGGGGCGTGGCTGCCTGCCCAGGCCGTGGTCATTGGGCGGGAGAGGGTGGAGCCTCCCTGCGTGCGTGTGTGTGCACATGGGCGTCAGGAGGGCTTGGGTTGGAAAGCGGGAGGCGTTTGGCCTCCAGAGTGTGGCAGTAAAACCGAACAGGCTGTGCAGATGGGAGGGGAGGGCCGCTGGCCGGGAGCCGTCTCTGGTGGTGAGTGAGACCCCTCAGACGCTGTCAGGGGCGTGGGAGCCAGTGTCCACACCCAGAGACGCTGGGCTTCAAGCCTCCCTCCTGACCTCCCCTCCGCAGGTCTGACGCTTTGGGCCAGATTCTCCCGCAGCTGGGTAAAGACTGGACGCACCAGGGCATCGCAAAGCTGTACCACTCCATCAACGAGTAGGTGCCGGCCCGCACGAGGCGCACTGGGGTCGGGACACGGGCCGGTGGCGTTGGCCGGGTGCCGTGGGTTGCAACCGGGTCCCCACGCTCCACCTGTGTACCTGCTCGCCCTCAGGCTGCCTGTGGCTCGAGACACCACCTGCTCCCGTGGCCTTGGTCACAGCCAGGACTCGGGTCTAAGGAGAGCCGATGCTCAGTTGTGGTTTATTTCTGGGGTACATTGAGATCCTGTCTCTGAGTAGGTGGGGCGGCCACAGCTGGGTGAGGGCTCCCGGGGCGCTTTGCTACCTCTGCGGTGCTGTCCCTGCAGCTGGGCCCGCGGAGGAGGGCTGCATGCGCTGCCTTCGTGCGGTCGGTCAGGGCCGAGACTGGCCGCGAGAGAAGCTGCGTTTCTGTGGGGCCCGAGCAGGGCCACAACCCCCAAGGCTGGAGTGGGGCATTTGACTTCAGGTGATTGTGGGCCCAAGGGGTCGGCGCCGGGCGACTGCTCCGTCCTAAACTTTCTTCACGGCCATCTGCTCGCTTGTCAAGGGCGGCCTGTTGTTTGCTGAGCACGGCGTGTTAGCTGTGAAGGCCGCACTCAGACCAGGCGGACGCCCCGTCCTGGGGACCCGATTGGGTGCTGTGTACGACACGGTCCGGCCCTGTGCTGTTTCCGTGGAGAGTATCATCTGTGACCCCAGCCGGCTGCCCCTGGAGCTCAGGGCCCACGTTTGTTTGCCTCAGCCAGGACAGGTGGGCAGACAGCACGCGTTTCCCTCTCTCCAGGAACGGCTACAAGTTCCTGTACTGCTCGGCCCGCGCCATCGGCATGGCCGACATGACCCGCGGCTACCTGCACTGGGTCAACGACAAGGGCACCATCCTGCCACGGGGCCCCCTCATGCTGTCGCCCAGCAGCCTGTTCTCCGCCTTCCACAGGTCGTCCTTCTCCCTCCCTCAGGCTCAGGGGTCCCCTACCAGGGCGGCCAGGCGGTGGGGTCCCCCGGGCTGCAGGGGGACGCCGTTCTCCAGAACCTCACAGGAAAGCTAACATGTTGACTTCGGTGATGTCTTCTTAGGGAAGTGATAGAAAAGAAACCAGAGAAGTTCAAAATCGAGTGTCTGAATGACATCAAGAACCTGTTTGCCCCGGCCAAGCAGCCCTTCTATGCTGCCTTTGGAAACCGGCCCAACGTGAGCATCCGGGCCTGGCGGGGTGCTGGGCTCCACACAGCAGGGGCTGTCACCGAGCTGTTGGGGGCTCCTGTAGGTCAGATCTGCCCCCAGCTGCAGACACAGGGCGCTGTCTTCGATTCCGTTTCCTCCAGCAGCTTTTCCCCTGGGTTTTTGGTTTGTTTTATGGTAGTGAGGACTGAACTCAGAGCCTTTGCCCTGAGCTGTACCCCCAGCCCTTTTTGTTATTTTCCATTTTGAGACAGGGTCTCTGCACTTCCCAGGCTGGGCTCGGGTGAGCAGGATCATAGCCCGCTCCGCCCAGGTCCTAGGCTGTCCTTGGAGCCCGGGACCAGGCGGGAGCCCTTCCCCCATCCCCGGCCCTTGGTCCTGCAGCCAGGCACCGCACAGAGCTGCACTCGCCCAAGCCTCGTGTGTCCCCTCTCTGTGGCTTCTCTGCCTCTCACTTCCGGTCTCTCTGTAGGACGTCTACGCTTATACACAGGTCGGAGTCCCCGACTGCAGGATCTTCACCGTGAACCCCAAGGGGGAGCTGATCCAGGAGAGGACCAAGGGGAACAAATCATCGTAAGTGCCGGCGGTGGGTGGTCTGGTCATGCTGGGTGTGGCTGGTCCGGAGCGGCTGCTGCGGGGGGCAGATATGACCACCTGTCCTCACCTGTCCCTCGCCCAGGTACCACAGGCTCAGCGAGCTGGTGGAGCATGTGTTCCCGCTGCTCAGCAAGGAGCAGAACTCCGCCTTCCCGTGCCCCGAGTTCAGCTCCTTCTGCTACTGGAGGGACCCCATCCCCGCTGCGGACCTGGACGCCCTGGCCTGAGTCCCGGCTGCGCGGTGCCTGGGGACGCTGGCCTGGCCCCTGCCCTGCTCCCTCCCAGGCCACTCTTTGCCCAGAGGAGGCAGGAGGCTTCGCCGACCCTGTGCTGCGGAACTGAGCTTGCCGGGAGCCTCGGCACACCAGGTGTGTGGGCGCCTGCGTCCCCACGGCCCCTCGGAAGTGGCTGCGGTGCAGCAGGCTGGCACCATCTTTGGCACTGTCCCTGAGCTCCACGGGCCCTGCGCTGGCAGGGCAGCTCCTCCCCGCCTGGGCCTGGGCCCGGGCCCGCAGCCTCTGGCTTCTCCTTGCTGCCCCGCGGTGAGGGCCTCCCCAACTGCTGGGACAGACCTCTGCGCCAGCGTCTGCGGAGACTGAGGGGCTGGTCAGCCCTGGAGAGGCAGCTGCTGGGTCCCGGGCCGGGAGGAGCGGCCTCTGTCCTTCCCCTCCGCTGGGTCCTGGCTCAGGGGCCCTCGGGTGTGGCTTGGGGACAGGATTTCTGATCTGTGCCTCGGGCTTGTCAGGAAGCAAGGTGGCCCCGGTCCTGCACTCGGGGTCACCTGGAGCCTGTGAGGGACACAGGGACATAGGGCCCTGCGTGTCACTGCAGTTCACGTGGCCTGGCTGCGACAGCTCGTGTCGGGTGTGCAGCTCGGTGGGGAGGTGATGGCTAGAGGGGCGCTCGGGACCCCGACAGCCCGGGGCTGGTCCTGCCCTGGAGGCCACAGGAAAGTGAGGTCCCTGTGGGGGAGGCCGGTGGCCCTTCAGGTCGGGAGCTGCGTCCCTCCAAAGCCCCGCTCCGGGGGCGGGTCCCGGGCCTCAGGGAGCAGTTCCCTTGGCACAAGTGCCCGTGCCCTCTTGGCCACCCACCACGGGTGGGAGTGGCGCACCTGGGCTCGGGAAGGACAGCAGAGGCCCGAGCTCAAGCTGTCCCCTGCCTCCGCGGTGCCTGTGTGGAGTTTGCCTGGGTGCTTGCCCCCCCTCCTCCGCAAGCGCTTCTCCCTCCGGTCCTGCCTGGGTCTGGACGTGTCCTGTCCCCATGTCCGCCCCTGCTGTTGCGCACGTGGGGCTTCCTCGCCAGCGCCAGTTGCTCCAGTGCTGCGGTGCGGTGGGGGACTGTGTCTGTGCTGGAGACCATTGCCATTTGGTACAAATGACGTTTGTTCTTTCTGTGAAAGAGAGATGCCCTCCCCTCCCGTGTATTTGCACACAACCCTCAGACGGCGAGCCGGGAGTCACCTCCGCTGTCTTCCAGGCACAGTGCCGTCCTGGAGGTGGGCGGAAGTCACTGCCGGAGGGGCGGCGGGGATGTCCCATGGAGCTGGCCCCATCCCACGGCTTCCAGGGGAAGGAACAGCTCGGGCAGAGGTCCTGACAGGGAGGACAGCACTGGGTGGGCGGGCCCGGTGCAGGTCTGGGGCTGCCTGGAATGGTTAGCGTGGCCCCACCGTGTGCCTGCGCCTTCCCCGAGGAGCTCGCCCTGCTCTCCAGGTGAGAGCACGCAGGGCCTCAGCTAACTGGTTTAAAATTGGTTAAATAAGTTCTTTCCAGGCAAAACTGACTTTTGGTTTGGTTTGAAGGCAAAGAGGGGAAACTACTCTTTCCAGTTAGTAATTGCATTCAGCTGATGAAGTATTATTAGGCAGCAGCGTCACTCATAGTTGTCCGAGTTCATTGTGAACATCAGTACCGTTTTCTTAGCTGTGGTAAAGACTTCCTCAGATGAATGGCTCATGTTCTGGTGCAGTGTTTGATGTTCGAAACAAAATGTTACAACAATAAACAAGCATAAAAGCGAGTGGGCTTGGCTCTTTCCATCAGGGGATGCCAGGCCATCTTCTCTGTTCTCCAGCCCGGAGGGACCATTTCCATAAATCAGCATTCTGATCTGCTGTCACCGGAGGGACTTCTTGGGCTTGTTCTGAAAGACCAGCTCTGCAGGGCGTGGCTGCACCTGGGACTGGCCTCTGCCCCTGTAGGGCGGGCCAGGAAGTGGCAGCTGCCAGCCTGCAGGGCCCGGGGTCCCCTCAGGTCCCCCCTCGTGGTGTCCGTGCGCTCAGCTAGATCAGGAGGGGGAGGCCTTGCGCCCCCTCTGCCTGCTGTGTGAGGGCCAGGCGAGGGCACCCCAGCGGAAGCCTCGGGCCGGGAGCTCGAGAGGAGGAAGTGCCCCTGACCACGGGCTTGGTGCGCTGAGCGGCGGGGACGCGCACCTGAGCCCTGCGGCTCTCCGAACCGTGAGCGTGCACGTGCGTCAGCGGTGTGGGGACCGCGTGGTTGAAGCCCTGGTTCCCATCAGGAGGGAACTGGGCGCCTGTGACACAAACACCCCTTTCCTTTCAAGCTGCAAATAATTTGTGGGCATCCGTCTGACAGATGATAGAGGCGTTAGGAGCGCTAGAGCAGTGTGTGAATCTGGAAATCATTTCAAAGGAACTTGCATCGACTAGAGTCCTCACTGCAGGTAGCACTTAGCCTTGTGGCCGCGCTGCATGTGGGACGTGGGCGTCCCCATCCTGTGTTTTGGGCTGCCCTGGACCCACCCTGGCCTCTCTAGGAACCCCTCCCAGATTTCAGAAGCTGCAACCGTGTCGGGGCGCTGGCGGGTCTCAGTAGATCTGGGCTCACTCGCTAGCCCGCAGCGTAGAACAGGCCCGAGGAGGAGTTGTCCTGGTTCCAGGGGCGTCCTGGGCAGGAGGGGGGCCATCACTGTGCCGGGCCACTCCCTGCTGCCCCGCTGTGGAGGGTTTGTCCCCCTTGGCATTGCGTGGATGGAAGCGGGCAAGGCCTGAGTTGCCAGCTGCGCTTTCCTGAAAACACTCCGCTGCCTGGGTGCTTCCCTGACTCACTTCTAGGACAGCCAGGGCCACTGCCTCCACCTGTCAGCCAGTTCCTCAGCAGCAGACAGGACAAGAAAGCCATTGTCTCTCCTGCTCTTGGACCGAGAGGCCCAGGCTTTAAGAGTCAGCGGCAAACCTGCACCTTGCTGCTTCCCCTCAGACCAAATGGGCACCTGCAGGCGCTCCAGGCACTGCGTGGAGGCCGGGGTTTCCTTTGCCTGGAGGCAGGACCTGCTGCTCCCCTGTCCCCGACCTCCCCTCGCTCCTAAGGGTCCCCTGTGCCTGGAGGCTTCAGGCAGTGCTTGAGGCCTCACGGATGAGCTGTTCCAGCCACGGTCTGTTTATTTTGGGCCTCTTGTTGCTTAGGAACCCGAATCTGAAGCTGCGTCTGCCTGTACTGCGCGGGCAGCAGCGAGGGCCGGCTCTCTACCCTGGGACCCGGCCTGGTGAGAGGAGTTTGCAGCCGCCTCGGCCCGCGGAGTGGAGGGAACCCTGGAGGGAACCCTGACTGCCCAGCACATCGGTTCTCGGAGCCAGAAACAGCTGATGCTGCGAGACCCGTTCTCCGGCCCAGGTTAACTTAGGCAAGACTGCTTTCTGCAGCCCTAGGAAAAGCCAGTCCATGGCTGAAGGAGGCACCGCAAGAAGGGACGTGGTTTACACCTTTATTGACACTCCCGTCTTTGCACTTCAGTCGCACATGTCATCCAAGGTGCCTGGCGAGCTTTTGCATCCACAGTCCCTGCTGCGTCCGTGGCCAGCTCAGCCTTCAGTGTTTGGACTTTGCTCCTGCACGCAGTGTCGCTCTCCAGGGAGCCCCAGCCGGAGCTGGGGTGGGGACGACCGAGGGGGAAGCGGGGAACGGGCTCCCCTGGCCTTCCAGTTGTGCGGTCACAGTGACAGTGGGGCGGCCACGTCCGCCGCCCGCGCTCCTGTCCTCTGCCGGGCCGGGGCGCAGTGGATGCAGGCCCCAGACGGCGTTCCATCACGGGCTGAGTACATGGAGGCCGGGCCCTGGGCGCTGGCCTAGAGGGCACCGAGGGCTGGGTACAGGAAGACGCCGCTGAAGGTGGAGTACACCTCGCCGAAGTCCGCGTGCGCCAGCCGGCCCCCGGTCAGCACCACGCTCACGCCGTCACCCGCCCTGAGGTGCACGACCAGGTGGAAGGCACCGGGGCCCCCGCAGGGGTGTAGGGCCCCGGGGGGCCGGTGGTACTCCAGGAGCTCGCGCTGGTACCCGGCCGTGTGCAGCTGCGCCACGCTGGCGTTGGCCACCGACAGCACGGCCTCCACGTAGGCGTCACGCTCAGGGGTGAGCGTGGCCGAGAGCAGGTAGCGCCCGTCGTAGGGGGCCGTGAAGACGCCTGGGGAGGAGGGGCGGTGAGGGCAGGGGCGGGGCCTGGCCCAGGGACAGGGAGACCCCGGCCCTGCGGGAAGAGCAGCCGGCCCAGCATGGCTCCCATGGGCCCCCTGGCCTCTGCCACCGCCTGCGCCCGGCCTGGCTTCCTGCGGGCTCAGCTCTGAACCCCAGCGGCCCTCCGTGGGGAGCACCCCAAGCCCCCTTGCCCAAGAGGAGTCCCGCCGGCCCTGGCTTGGCCCCTGCTCCAAGGAGGAGGCAGGGGAGGCAGCACTGGGCCTGCGCCCACCAAGGAAGGGAATGCAAGCTTGAGGGGCAGGGGAGGGCCTGGGTCTGCGTGCCCCAAAGCAGCTGAAACGTCACTCCTTTAGACAGCTGTGACTTGAGGCCTCCCGGCCCAGCGACAGAGCTGGCCTCTGTGCACTGTCCCTACTCGGGGTCCAAGCCCAGCGTGGCCAGGCCCTGCTCGGGATCACCCGGAGCCTCCCACGCCGTGCCCTGGCCCCGGGGACGCGTTCTGGGGTGTGTGAAGAGTACCCCCGCACCCCCGGGGGACCTGCTGTCCCCTGAAGGCAGCAGGAGGGGGCCCGGGAGCAGCAGGCGGAAGCCGGGCGCTTGCTTCTTCCACGTGGCCTGGGCCCCGGGCGACAGCCCCGTAAGTGACCTGGGCCCCTGGGAAGGAAACCGGGTTGCTCCAGTTTCCGGGGCTGGGATCCCGGCCGTGGACGGGGACACTGGCAGCTGCCGAGAGCAGAGACCAGAGCCCCGGGCACTCACCAGTGTTGGGGTTGTAGACGTTCCCGTCGTTCACCAGCACCTTGTTAAAGAGGATGACGCCCCCGTCGCTGGGGAACGGGTTCTGTGTGAGCCCAGCCGAGAACGACACCAGGGCAGGCACCAGGAGCCCTGGGGAGGGAACACAGACCGGGACGGGCAGGAACCGGCTTAGCCCAGGGTCGTGAAGCCCCACCGGGACAAACCTCGGCACCCCCAGGGGATGCTGGAGATGGGGCAGACTGCATGACGGGGTGGGGCTGGGGCGGGGGCTGGGGCTGGACATGGTGCCCCATGGCTTCATCCCAGCACTCGGGAGGGTCACAAGTTCAAGGGCCACATAGTGAGACCCTGCCTCCAAAAAACAACAAAAAGGTTGGTTGTAACACAGGCTGCTGTCACCTGGGGGCGCCCTGGAGTCCTGGGCCCTTAGGGAGCTCGCAGGACCACACAGGGTCCGGCCACCCAGTGTCCCAGGGATATGGAGGACAGGAATTCCCGCCCGCCCAAGCCCGGTCCCCACCTGCCACCTACCTGGGGAGGCTGCAGGTGGTGCCTGGGGGTACCCTGGAAAGACAGGGGGCGTCAGTCCTAGACAGCAGCAGGCGCCAGGAGCCCCGCAACCAAAGCGACAGACAGCGAGGCCGCCAAGCGGAGCCAAGCCCTCCCCATCTGCCAGGTGACCGGCTGCACCCCAAGCCATGCGCCATGCTTGGGCCGTGTGGCCGGGTGGACAGGAGCCCAGCAGAACACAGCAGCCATGATCCAGGGCAGCAAGGAAGAAAAAGGGCATCTGAGAAAAGGCAGCCTGTAAGCCCAGCCCCGTCGGAGGCTGAGGCAGGAGGATCACATTCAAGACCTGCCAGGAAAACAGTGTCTCGGGAGAGACCCTGTCTCAGAATAAGAACCAAAGGGCTGGGGGTGTAGCTCGGGACAAAGGCCCTGAGTTCAACTCCCAATAACACCAAAAGTAAAAAAGTTTAAAAGCTGGCGAGCGACCCGTCCCTGTCTGCAGCTGGCCAGGCAGCCCACGAGGCAGCGAGCGAGCGAGGCGGTTTCCGCACCAGGCTCCTAGCCCGACCGGCCTGCCGCTATGCTGCCAGGATGCGGGCGCAGCTCCCCAGCCGCCCCCCGCCACTCCGCAGCCCGGCAGGCTTACCTGGGGCGCCCGCGTGGCCCTCTGCGCTGGGCACCGGCCGGGGCCCGGTCTGCCCGTGCTCGCCCCGCGGCAGGCCCCTGCCCGACACTCCCCGCCCGCCTGGCGGCCCGGCCTCGCCCGTCTCCGTGGTGAGGCCCGCGGAGCCGGGCAGCCGCGGGGGCCCAGTCCAGCCAGGCCGCGCGGCTGGGGGCGGCTGCGGGAGCTGCGGGGGGAGCGCGGGGCCTTGGTCCTCGGGGGAAGCGGGGCCGCGGTCGGGCTGGGGTGACGCTGTAAGGGCCTCCCCCGGCCCGGCTGGCACCTTTGGGCTCTTCCGGGTGGGCGGCGCTGCGGACGGGCCCTGGGCTGAGTGAGGAAGCAGAGACGCACGGGTCGCGGGTGTCCCTCCGGGGTGCGGCTCACGGTGACCCAGCCTCTCCTGCACCGGGGACAGCAGTGCAGGCCCCACGGGCAGGGGCGGCGCCCCACCCTGGACGCCCACAACGACCCCAAGGCGGCCCACGCTGCCCCGTCGCCACTTGGGTCAACGGAGGCCGCCCTTCCGGGCCCCTCCTGGTGGCCGCGTCACCTGGGCTCCCGGTGTGGCCCGGGTCCTAGCGACAGCTGACGGGCACCACGGGGTGGCCCCGTGCCACCCCGGCCTGTCCCATGCGGGCCCGCCCCGGAGCCCCAGGGGTGAACGGGGCATCCAAGCTGTCCGGGTCCTAATTCCTGCCCACCACAGATCCGACGCCCCGGCTCTGCCGTCCTGGGTCCTGGCCAGCAGTGAAGGTGCTGGACGACAGGCAGAGAGGACGGCGCGCTGAGCTGCTGTGAGCCCAAGGCGCCTGGATCCCAGCACTCGGGAGGCTGAGGCAGGAGGGCCAGGCTATACAGACCCTGTCTCAAAAGTGCAAGGAAAAAAGAGAACACAGTCTGGGCGGTCTCTGCTCATCCAAACCGGATCCCTCTGCTCCAAAGATCGCGCGGACAGCCGGCCCACTTCTCCAGAGGAGCCTGAGGAGATCCCCAGCGACCCCAGGCGCAGGCTGTTGGGCACTGTGCTGCGGGGGAGAGGACTGGGAGAGGGGCTGGGAGGAGCAGCGCACCCGTGCCAGGCGCTGTCAGGGTCTCCGGCTCCCGGAGTGCACAGAGGCAGGGGGCTTCTTTGAGCAAACAACCGCAGTCCTCTGGGACCGAGCCTGGTCCGGATTGGGAGGAGGGAGCAGCTGCAGCTCAGTGCTGCCCTGGGCTGTGGTCAGGTGAGCGAGGCCTCAGGCTCCGTCGCTGTCTTGCCACCTGTGCTTCCCCTTCCATGACATTAGGACCAATGGGATTTGGGTTTTTGGTTTTATGTAGTCCAAGCTGGCCTCTGACTCAGCGACCCTCCTGCCTCAGCCTCCTGAGTGCCAGGATTACAGGCGTGCGCCACCACGCCTGGCCAGGAAGTGCTTTGCTATCACTGAACCCCAGAGCAGGGACCCACTACTGCACCAGCATCGCTTTGGTTGGGGTTTGGTTTTTGGTAGAGATCCCCTCGCTGACTTGGGGGACCTGGCTAAGCCCAGGAGAGAGGCGCAGACTCAGGTCCGGGTGGGTGCGGCTCGGTGAGTGCTGCCTGCCGGGGAAACAGCCGGCCCTCTGGGCCCTGCTGCCCGGCCCTGCTCCCCCTCCGGGGTTACCTGCGAGTCCCCAGGGCTCCCCGGCCAGGCTATAGGACTCCCTGAGTGAGCCGGGTCCACGTGCAGCTGAGGACGCCAGGCCCCCCGCTGGCCTGAGTCCGCAGCCCAGTGGACCAGCTTGACAAAAACGGACGCTTAGAGCCACCCTGCTCCTAAATGAAACCCTGTGACAGTCAGGTGTGGAGGTGTGGAGGTGCGGACCTGTGATCCCAGCACTCAGGAGGCTGAGGCAGGAGGATCGCTGTGAGTTCAAGGCCAGCGTGGGCCGCATAGTGAGTCCCCATTTCAAAAACCAAAAAGAGAAACTGTGGTGATGAACAGAGCCCAGGTCCTGGGAGGAGTACGCACAGATGGGGCCAGGAAGGGAAGAGGGGAGAAAGCGGAAGCCTTGGCGTTGTCACTGGGGGCTCTTGGAGCGGCTGTAGCTTCGAGCTGGGGCCGCCCCTCCCTGGAAGCGTGACGCGGCAGCGTCCCCGCACCCTGCCTCGGGGGTTCCCCGGCACCAGAAGGCCTCCCGGGTCCCCACCTGGGAGACGCGCACCTCGCGGTCGCGAGCCCGACCCGAGCTATCCCGACCCTTCACTTCATTTCCTTATTTCTATTGTGCGTCAGGGTCCCGCTAGGTGTCCCGGGCTGGGCTTGAACTTGGGATCCCCGGCCTCATGGGGAGATTGGTGCCAAAGCTGTGGGTGCTGGGAGAGCAGATTCCCAGCCGGCCCCTAAGTCAGAAAGGAAGGGGAAAGGAGCGGAGCCCCGGGCACCCGAACGGAAGGGGCGGGATCTCAGACGCGGGAAGGCCAGCTTCTCAAGGCGGGCGTCGTCCGGTCTCTAACGCACACGTGAAGAGTGAAGAGGCGGCGGCAGCGGGAGGGAAGCGACTGACGCAGAGTCACACGCCAGCTTGCAGGAGCCTGAGCAGTGAGGCTCATTTGCTCCCTCAGATTCACCCTGCGGGCTCTCACGCATAGTATTCAAATCCAAGTCCTTTACAGCGGCCCAGGAAACCTGCACCCCCTGCCTCCCGCCCTCTCTTGAGCTCACCACCTAGACTTTCACCTGTTCAGCCTCAGCCAATCACACGCTGAGATGTTCAGGAGCGAACGCACCCCGCCCGCCCCCGGGGTCTCTGCACTCGCTGCTCCTGCTGCCCGAGCAGGTTTCCCCTCAGACCACGCAGGGCTCGTGTTGTGAGCACATTCTCATCTCCAGTCCCCGCAGCTCCACGGAGCAGCCACCCCTGACCACTCAAGGACAGGGACCTCTGGTTCCTGTGCCCGGCTCTGGTTTGTCTTCCCTCTGGACACCATGGCTAACTGGACGCAGAGGCCGAAGTGGGCGGCTGCGCGTGCTCTGCCTTCCCCTGGAGGAACGTCCAGGACGCATGTGCAAAGACACCGACCGGCCGGGGCTCGGAGGGAGGGAGTGAGGGAAGCGCAGTGACCCAGGGCTCCCGTCGCCCGGAAGCCCGACACCCTTCTGGGTCCCAGGAGACAGCCCGTCCGGGAGGCTGAGGCAGGAGGACCACGGCAAGTGCAAGCCCAGCCTGGGCGACACACCGAGACCCGTCTCCAAACCACGCAGGGGACGAGCGGAGGGACCCGGCCTTGCCGCCCGCTGTGGTGCCTTTCCCTCGGAGACCCAGGCGCCCAGGACTGCCCCGAGCACTCTCAGCCACAGCCGGGCCTTGCCCTGCGGCCGCCTTCCCTCCCGAGGACCCGGGGCTGAGGCTCAGCGGCAGGAGGCTCTGCCCGTCTCGGTCTTGTTTCGAGTTTGGGTTTTTTGAGACAGCGTCTCACTGTGCAGCCCAGGCTGGCCTTAAACGCGCTGTCCGTGGCCCTCCTGCCTCGGCCTCCCGAGTATGGGATTACAGGCCTGCGCCCCCACGCCCGGCTCCGCTTCCCTCTGCCTCTTAGTCCCTGCAGCTCGCCGAAGTCCGCCTGTCCACCCCGACTCGGGCTCCTGCGGGGGGCAGTGTGCGGGCAGTACCGTGGTCACCGGGGACAGTGGCTGTCCCGTGACCCCTGCTCACCTCCCGAGCCCCGGGCCCTGTCACAGCCCAGTGACCCCTTACACAGCGTCCCCGGGGGACCTGAACACAAAACCCGAGGTTCGGTCCAGGGTGTGCAGGCCTGGCTCACCCGAACGGAAACGGGCGAGGGGAGGACAAGAGGAGAGAAAATAGAGGGGAGGCTGGGCGTGGCGGGCACGCGAATCATCCCAGCACAGGGAGGCTGAGGCAGGAGCATCGCTGTGAGTTTGCAGCCAGCCTGTGCTGAGACCCCGTCTCAGCAAAAAGCAGAACAGAAGAAGTCAGGGCTGTCCGGCTGCACTTACCGGCTGGCGGCGGCGGCGGAAGGGTGACCAGGCCCCGCGGGTCGGAGGGGACCTGGAAGACGTGGCTGTAGAACTGCCGCACCGAGCTCTGGAGGCCCGCGAGGTCCCCGGCCTGCGCACGCAGCGTGCCGTTCAGCCCTTGCACGCAGCCCCACAGCGCGCTCACCTGCTGGCCCAGCCCCTCCCCGACGCCCCGCAGGCCGCCGGCCACCGCGTCCAGCTCGGCCTGCATCCTGGCCTGCAGCGTCTGCCACCGGCCTTCGAGCTGGGCGCAGCACGGGGCTCCGGGCAGCGGGGGGACAGGGAGGGCCGAGCCGCCGGGCCGCTGCTCCCTCGCGCGGCGCTCCATCGCGTTGATCCGGGCGTCCAGCTCGGCCCACCGGGCTCCAAAGTCCGCGCCCGCCTCCGGCGCAGCCAGGCGCTCTAGCTCGTTGTCCAGCCGCGCGTTCAGCGCCCTGGCGGCCTCTGCCACCCGCTCGATCTTCCGGTGCAGCGCCTCGATCTGCGGCCCCCCGTCGCTGGTCCCCCCATCGCAGCAGCCGGGCCGGGCCACGGGGTCCTGCAGCCGGGCGCGGAGGTCCCCCAGCTCCTGTCTCAGGCTGGCCTCCTTCTCCGAGAGCAGCTCCAGGACGCCCAGCGGGCTGCTGCCGTAGTCCTCGCACTGTGGCTGCAGCCCCAGCTGCTTGTACTCGCACGTGGCCTTGAGGTCGCCCAGCTTGCGGTCCACGCCCTCCAGGAGCTCGGCCCGCAGCGCCTCGAGCCGGCCGTCCACGTAGGCCTGCAGCAGCTCGGCCGAGGCCATGGTGGCCGTGGGGCCCCGCGCCGCCTCCTGCAGCTGCTGCAGCCGTCCCTCGTAGCCCTGCACCTTCCCGGCCAGCTCCTCCAGCTTGTCGCTCTTGGTCTTCAGGGCACCCCTGACCTCGGCCAGCTCCGACTTGATGTCTTTCATGCCCGGCTCCTTGCTGTGCAGGACGCCGGGCAGCCAGGCCATCTCGGTGCCCCTGACGCTGGCAGGGCCGGGTGCCGGGCTGCTCGGCCAGGTGGTGCGCACCTCGCCAGCGTCGTCCTGGGCCCGGGCCTGGGCCGCCCGCTGCAGGTTCTCGCTGACGCCCGCCAGGGAGGACTCCAGGCCCGCCACGGTCCGGGTAAGGCGCAGGACGCTCTCCTCCAGCGCCTGGATCTGCTGCTCCTGGAGCTCCTGCGGCCTGGGCCTCCTCTCCCCCACCCGCCTCGGCTCTTCAGCTCGAGTCGGGGCCAGAGGGGCCCGGGGCTGGGACGCCTGGCTGGGCTCATGATCTATCAGAATGGAGAAGGGGGACAGTGAGTGGCGTTCCACACCGGAAGCAAGGGACAGGGATGCACCTAAACCCCAGCCGGGCATGGTGGCTGCAACCCTACAGTCCCAGCACTCGGGAGGCTGAGGCAGGAGAATTGCCATGAATCAGAGGCCAGCCTGGGCTCCGTGGTGAGTTCAGTGCCAGCCTGGACTACATAGCGATGCCTGTCTCAAAAAACCCAGGAGGGGAAGGGGGGGGTAGAGAGAGAGAGAGAGGATGCGTTGGTGGCTCATCATGGTGAGCAAGCAGTGCGGGGACCCTCATGGTCTCCAGCAGCTTGCACCCTGAGGGGGACAGAACACTGGAAACCACAGGAGGCCACAGGCAACAGGCACCCCTGGCTGCTAGAAGGCACTAACTACACTGTGTTAACCATGCCGGATGTGTGAGCATCCTCAGACAACTCCGGAGCACCTAGGTGCCCATTAGGAGGCTGGAGAAGTTAAGCTGGGGGACACGACGCCCAGCTGTGGGTGCCTCCCACCCACACAGCCCCTGGCCACAGACGGCACGGGTTCCAGTCCGCTTCCAGAAACACCCCAGAGAAACATCTAAAGAAGAAAGAATTGTAACCACAATAGCCAGGGTCAGGAGCCATTCTACATAATTTTGGGGAAAAACCATTTCACAATTAAATCATGATTAGGGCAAGTTCTCCTGCCTACAGGCCAGCTATGGCGTGTCCAGACGTGACTCCATTTTTGCCTCCGGGCACAGCAAAACCTCAGTGGTCCGGTGATGCTGTGATGCTCCAGGGCAGGATTCCAACCACTGGAGACATCCTGGGAGGAGCACATAGTTCCTCATTGTTCTAAGATTTTCACTGCACTGCCCTGAGTCACCCGTTACATTTGTTCCTCCCGATCTACCAATCTACCGAATAAAGATGTGGCAAGCTCGGGCTTTCGTCTGACCAGGGCCAAAGCTCAGCTTCTTCTCTAACTTTCGCTTCTATTAATTCGCCTTGTGCTGTCATGGCTCACAGGAGACCAGGACTGACTGCAGGGGTTCTAGTAACGTCCCCTTTCCCTGTTCCCTACAAGCCAGGAGTCAGAAAACAGAAGTAAATGGGCTCACCAAGAAGCCTCAGTTAGACAACGGGAGGATGTGAGAAGCTGCTGCTACCCAGGAGGACAAAGTGGCCCAAAAAGAGAAGCTGCACTAGGCGGCTATGAACTTCTGTATGGGTTTTGAGGGTTTTTTGTTTTTGTTTCTGTTTTGTTTTTGAGACAAGGTCTTGCCATGCAGTTCAGGCCGGCCTCAAACTCATGGCCCATCCTCCCGCCTCGGCCTCCTGAGTGCTGGGATTACAGGCGTGCACAAGATTACTAACAGCAGGTACCATTCTTCACATCAAAGTAGGAGGCGTGTGTTGGTGAACCTGTGTGATCCAGCACTTGGGGAAGGACACAAGCTGAAGCCCAGCCTGGACATCTTAGTGACTGGGCAGCACCCTGTCTCGAAGAATAAAAAGGGCTGGGGATGCAGCTCAGGGAGAGAGCCATCCCAAACAGAATGAGAATGAGTCTATTCATCTATTTTTAGAAAGACAATTCCTTTAAATTCAGATCTATGGGTCTTATAGATTCTGTTTTGTCTTTATTTTTTTGGTACCGGGGATCAAAGTCGGGTCCTTGTACTTTGGAGGCAGGCAGCAGAACCACTGAGCTAAATTCCCGGCCCTTGTCTTTCTTTTTTGAGGCAGGGTCTCACTTTGCAGTTCAAGCTGGCTTTGAACTATGTAGCCTAGATTTGCCTCAAATTCGAGGCGATCCTCCTGCCTCAGCCTCCTGAGTGCTGGGATCACAGTCATGCGGCACCTCGCCCAGCCTTTCTCCTCTCCTTTCCAGGTGCTGGAGATTGAACCCCCAGCCGCACACACGTGGGTTTCTCTGCTCCCCTCAGAGCCCTGAGGGGGGGAAGCGCCCCTCGGGGACACTCACCTGGGGCCTTCATGCTGTTGCGCCGCCGTGCGGATGTGGGGCGCGGGCCAGCAGCGGGGGACCGGGGGCCCTCCTGGCAGTCCGGACCATGGAAGCCGGGGCAGCATCTCCACTCCAGCTGGGTCACCGTCTTGAACCTGGTCACGTACCTGGGCCTGAAGTTCACGCGGTACCTGCGAGGGTGGGGTCCGCTCTGCTCAGTCCCAGGAAGCAGCCGTCGCCCGGTGCTGCCCGTGCTCCCAGGGGACTCCGGCTGGGGTCCCTGTGCCCACCTGCTGGGGATGCCCCGGACCCCGACAGGGTGTTGTCCTCACCCTCTGGCTGCCTCGGCCACCGAGTCCCGGCCCAGCCGTGAGCAGACGCGTCTGTCCCTCAGCTGCCCGGGGTTTTGACCTGTGCTGGGGCTGCACTCAGAGGCAAAGTCCTCCAGGGCAAAGCAGCCAGGGCCGGGAGGGACAGAGCCGGGGAGGCCGGGGCAGGCTCCCCTCCCCAGCTCCATGTTCTGCCCTTGCTCTCCTCTCTGCACCCCGAGGCCGCTGCTCACACGAGGGGGGCTGACTACAGTGGTGGGCAGGGACACTTTAAAAAATTCATTGTGGCAAAGGACGCGCTGGCATTAATTCCTCTCCAAATACACCTCCTTGCCTCAAACGCACTTACCCATCATTTCCGGCACTTCCTTTTCTTTCTTGTGAGACAGGGTCTCACTATGGAGTGCGGGCGGCTGGCTTTGAATTATGTAGTTCAGGCTGGCCCCAAACTTACGGTGGCCCTCCTGCCCCCGCCTCCCACACCCGGCCCCTGCCGCTTTCTGAAGCAGCTCTGGGGTCCTGAGCGTCTTTATGAGATGTGATTAAAGACATCCTGTCTTTTACCATAACAAATATTTTTAAAAATCAAGCATTTAACGCGTTTTCGCCCAAACTTGGCGCGGGTCCCTGTTCGGGCGGCGGCTCCAGGAGTGAGGGCCTCACCTGGGCCCCAGCACCAAGGCGGCAGGTGGGGTCCGGCACGGTGCTGCAGGTGCCCCAGAGCCGGGGACGCAGACCCGAGTGCGAGTCCAGAGGGAGGAGATGCTCGCGGGGCGCAGGCAGTTGCGTCGGGGAAAGGAGGCCGCGAGGGAGCCCCTCCACTGCCGGCCCTGCGGGAGCGAACGGGCCCTGCGGGGAGCTCTTCAGCTGCAGCCTGGTGCACCCTGTGACCCCAGCACTCAAGAGGCTGAGGCAGGAGGGTCGCTAGCTGGAGCCCAGCCTGGACGACTTGGCAACTTAGCGAGACCCCGTCTCAAACTATAAAATACAAAAGGGCCGGGGACGCAGCTCCACGCAAAGGCCGCGGGTCCGCTCCTCAGGGCTGCAAAAGCTAAAGTCAGGAGGGCGGGCTCGGCAGGCGGGAGACCCTGAACCTGGTCTCTAGCGCTGCGAGAATACACTGAAGTCGGGAGCCGCAAGGCTTTACTCCCACACCAAAGCAGACACCCACCCTCGGCGGGCTGCCCAGGACGCGTGGGGGGCCCGCGTCCGAGACCCCCACGCAGCCTCGAGGGCCCCCGTGCGGGGCCCGGGACGCCCCGCCCAGGCCGGTCGCCACAGCGACAGCCCCGCCCACGCCCCGCCCCTCACTGGACTCCGCGGGGCCAGGTGTGGGGCGGGGGAGTGCGGGGCGGCCGCGAGAAGGGCCTGGGAGCGTGACCGTGAGTCTCCCCGTCACGACAGTAGGCCAGGGAGGGCAAGGACAGCCTCAGCCGGGCGCGCACCTGTGATCCCAGCACCGGGGAGGCTGAGGCAGGACGGTCCCGAGTCCGAGCTCAGCCTGAGCAACTTAACCAGCCCTTCCTCCAAATAAACAATGAAAAGCTCGGAGATTTGGCTCAGTGGCGCAGGGCCGGCCTCGAAAGTTCCGTCCTGAGCACTGTCCCTGGTACCAGAAGAAAACATTAGACTGAGTGCATTGTGCACCCCCACCCACGCCTTCCTCAGGCCCCCGCGCGCTGCGCTCAGGGCGTCTCTAGCCCTTTTTTGAGTCAGGGTCTCACTTAGTCGCTAGGCAGGTAGTAATGGATAGTTGCTAGTGATTAAGTGGATCAAAAATTGATTAGCAAACAGTAATTAACGAGACTATGTCTACTTTTGCCCAGGTTGATATTAAAAGCACACACCTCTCATGCCAGCACTCGGGAGGCTGAGGCAGAAGGATCGCCACGAGTTCAAGGGCAGCCTGGACTGCATAGCGAGACCTTGTCTCAAAAACCAAAAGAAGGCCCGGGGATTTAGCTCAGTGGTTCCGCCGCCTGCCTCGAAAGTGCAAGGTCCTGAGTTCGATTTCTGGTACCAAAAAGAAAAGAAAAAGTCCAAGTCACCCACAGGTCTGACCCAGAGCAGATGTGAATCTGAGTTCTCCAGAACCAACCAAGCTCCAGGGCCCCAGCAGGAGTCACAGGAGATGTGACCCAGGGCTGAGCCGTGTGGGAGGTGGCTGTCAGCCAAGAGTGCCCCATAAGCTACACTGAAGTCCTTGGTCCCACATTCCAGGAACTCAGCAGCGTGAACACCTCCATTGCCCCAGGAAGCCTCCCGGACAGCCAAGCTGACTCCTGGGAACCAGCCCGGTCCACATCTGCTCCTCTGTGGATCCCCAGTCCCCCACTTAATATCTGAGACAGGGTTTCGACAAGGCCACAAACTGTCCAGGCTAAGCTCAAAATTTCCATCCTCCTGCCTCAGCCTCCCAAGTAGCTGGGTTATTAGTAAGCACCACGTGCATTTGGACGCTCGCTGACAGGCTACTGGCGCTGGGAGGTGCAGTGCCCTGGGTGCAGGCCAGACTGGGATTCCTCTGCAGACTCAGAGCCAGCTCCTCTCTCAGATGTCCACTGGCCTGGCTGTGTGGACAGGAACAGGGGGACCAAGAGGATCCGGGGAGGAGAGCCCATCCTGGGGCTGGGAAAGGTGTCCAAGCTGCCCACCCTCAGGCTCCCCTTGAAGGCCAGCGTTGGGCCAAGGAGACCAGCTTTGCAGCTCTTGAGGTTTCCCTCCCGCTGCACTAATTCACCTGTCCTCCTAGCACTGCAGTAGGCTGAGGCAGGAAGGTTGCAAGATGGAGCTCAGCTTGGGCAACTCTGACCTGGCCAGACCCGCAGGGCTCAGTCACCATGCTGCGTCGGGTCGGGATCACCCCACAGAGCGTGACAGAGTTTGGCCTTGGCCATCTAATGCAGAAACAGACAAGACATTAGGTTGGCCTTCTAGGAACTGCTCTGGCAACCGTGTGGTTATTTTGTGTTTGGGTTGTCTTTTTTTATTTAACCATCAATGAATGAATAAATATACGAGTTCTTTGTATTTATTGATACTTTGCCAAAAGCAAATGCAGTCAGCCAGTAGAGACCGCAAAGTCCAGCACCCAGTGTGCTTTAAGAACTCACTGAAGGGAGAGTGGCTTTGCCGAGGTGGAAGGAACCCTGCCATCCAGACCCACTGTGTCTTCTAATGCCAGCTCTGGAGGCTGAGGCAGGAGGAGCCTGGCAAGTTCAAGGCCAGCCTGGGCTACAGAGCAGGACACTGTCTCCAAAAGACAAAATAAGTAAAATAAAACCATGCACATCTACAAAGACAGCCTGCAACATCAGGAGGAGGGCCCTGCTCATGCACAAGCGCAGTCGGGAATTCTCAGTGGTTCCTGCCACTTCTCAAACTTTTAATCAGGCGTCAGCATGGAGAAACTGGGAGCATGGTAGTGGAGAAATAGGAACATTTTGTCCGGCTTTTTAGGAAACTGCATCTAAATCTTAAAAGCCCGAACGCTTGGGCAATTGTTTTCTGAAATACAAAGCATATCTAATGATCTAAAAGTCAGATGCATGCGTTCTGGTTAAAATCAGACTGCAATGTCCTTTATATATGTTTAGAAAACAGGTCCTAGACCAGAGCAACGCGTGCGTTCCAAGTAAAATCACAGGAGACCGCCTCTTTCCCAAAGCACAATGTAAGCGGTGGGTTTCTCCATTTCCACTTGAATTAATGCCTTTCTGCGTTTACAATGCGACTCGGGCTTCCGAACCTACGTCCTGTCCTCCTACGTCCTGTCCTCCGGGGCCTTGGGCTGGCGAGCAGCGCATCCGGGAGTTTGGGGGGCGGGGGGGAGCAGCAGCAGCCCGGCAGCTCGGAGGCCCGGGGCTTGGCCAGGACGGTTGTTATTCCTGGGTTTGGGGGACGGGGCCCCTTGCCAGCCCTGACCTCATCTCGGGTGGGGAGCCTCGCTCCCCAATCAGCCCCTCCCGGCCGTGGGAAGCGGCGGCCGGGTGGGTCCCTGGGGCCTCCCCGATCCGCACAAGCCCGAGCGTGCAGGACCCCGCGGCAGGGCCACCCGCTGTGCGCCCCGCAAGCACAGCCCGCCCAAGGCCCCTGCCACCTGCTCCGGCTGCCAACCCCAGGGCGCCGCCCCCACCCGCCCGGTGAGGTCACCCCGAGTCCAGGCCGGGACGCATCTGCCAGGGCCTCCTCATGACGTGCGCCGAGAAACTCGCGAGCCACCCCGGGCTCCGGCTCCTCCTCCTCCCTGCTGGCCCAGATTCCACAAGTCGGGGGTTCCCAGCCCCTTCTCCGAGCTCCACCCGCCCTGCACAGGGGGCCAGGCCGCAGGCAGCTGTGCTCACTCCGCCCACCCAGCTCCCCACAGCTGCTCTGATTTTTAGGGTTATACATTTTCCTGAGACACGGTCTCACTCTGTGGTCCAGGCTGGCCTCGAACTCAGCAATCCTCCTGCCTCAGCCTCCCGGTGCCGGGAGTACTATGGATGCCCCGGGAGAGTGGCCAGGCCGCTCCACCCACAGCCACCTGCAGACCTGGGGCGAGGGCCCCGCAGCCCGCAGTTGGCCACACCGGTGCCCGACGCCCAGGAACAGAAAACCCAGAGCCGGGGGCCGGGCATTTAGCTCAGTGGCTCCACCGCCTGCCTCGCCAGCGCAAGGTCCCGAGTTCGATCCCCGGTACCAAAAAACAAAAATTAAAAAAAAAAAAGAACAGAAAACCCAGAGGCGGGCAGAGGTTTTGGGCGGACAGGGCACCCGGTTCTCCCTTCGGGCCGATTCGATCTGGGACTTGAAAACAAAAACACCCTCATTGCTTCCTAACCCGCAGCCGCTGGCCAGGAGGGCAGGACGCTGACCCCGAG